AGCCTGACCATGGTGGGAATCGAACCCGCAACCTTTGGGACACTAGTCCAATGCTCTGCTAACTGCATATACACTCAGAGTAACGTCAAAAACAATATTCACCTGAGTACCTGTACATATAAACACCCAAACAACACATTCTTGATAAGAAAATTCTTTTTAAGAAAAATTTCTTGATTTGAGAAATTATTTTCTTAAAATAAGAAATTATTTTCTTATTTTAAAAAAATTTTCTTATTTCAAGAATTTTTTTTCTTAGAAGAATAACAAGAAAATTTTCTTAATAAGAAAATTCATTTTAAGAAAAATTTCTTGTTTTGAGAAATTATTTTCTTAAAATAAGAAATTATTTTCTTATTTTAAAAAATTTTCTTATTCAAGAATTTTTTTTCTTGGGAGAATAACAAGAAAATTTTCTTAATAAGAAAATTCTTTTTAAGAAAAATTTCTTGTTTTGAGAAATTATTTTCTTAAAATAAGAAATTATTTTCTTATTTTAAGAAAATTTTCTTATTTCAAGAAAACTTTTTTCTTGGGAGAATAACAAGAAAATTCTCTTATTAAGAAAAAAATTTTCTTGATTTGAGAAAATATTTTCTTAAAATGAGAAAATATTTTCTCAATTTAAGAATTTCTCTCAAGAAAATATTCTTAATAAGAAAAATTTTCTTAAGAAAATTTTCTTATTAAGAAAATTTTCTTGTTATTCTCCCAAGAAAATATTTTCTTATTTCAAGAAAATTTTCTTAAAACAAGTTTTTTTTTTCTTAAAATAAGAAAATGATTTTTTGCTGTGTACCAACTCACAAATTTCAGCGCCGTCGAAACTACCCATAGTGACGTCAAATAAACTGTTGCTTCCGTCTTTTTTTGTCCATAATTTGCCGTTGCCGAAAAGTAGAGATTTCCTTGCATGTTTTATTATTGAAATATCGTTTTCGGTAATAGTAGTCAAATCCGAAGCCCAGGCCAATGCTTCATTTAAAAATTTTTCGGAAATAGATGGGTAAAAATCCACAATATCAAATGAAATAAAACTGTGCCTGTCTTTATCATTTATATTGCCAAACCATGAAATTACTTGTTGCGTATTTCTCCATTGATTTGAATTTAGTTTTTGTCTCAAATTGAAATTGATATTATCTAAAATAACCTTACTTAGTTTTCCCGATTCGCTTTTTGCGGGATTAATTAGTCGGCATTTTGGATTGTTTTCGAAATTTTCTTTGTGATCTTTTAAAGATATATCTTTAAAGGTATAGGTTTGGCAAGGAAAACATCGGATTTTATAGAGATGATGGTTTGGCTATTATAAAAAGCAAATCCGCCCGTTTACTAGACAAAACTAGAAAAGAGCTACACAAAATTTTCGAGCAATTTGACCTTAAAATCACCGCCGAAGTAAATATGAACGTTGTAAATTTTTTAGATGTTACTTTCGACCTGATCAACGCAAAACACAAACCATACAGGAAACCCAATGACGATCCATTGTACATCCACAGACACTCAAACCATCCACCGAGCATTACAAGACAATTACCTACAGCTATCAACAAACGCATTGCACTTCTCTCATCGGACGAACAGACATTTAAGGAATCCACACCTATTTACCAGAACGCTCTTACACATAGTAACTTTGATCATGAATTTACGTACACTCAGGATGCACCGCAAAGGGCACGTAGGAATAGGCAACGCAACATAATTTGGTTCAACCCACCATTTAGTAAGAGTGTTAACACGAACGTAGGACGGGAATTCTTAAGTTTAATTGACAAACACTTCCCGCTACAGCACAAACTACACAAGATTTTTAACAGAAACACTTTAAAAGTAAGCTACAGTTGCATGAACAACGTTAAGTCTATAATCACCAAACACAACGCACATATAATTAGGAACAGTCAATCACAGAATATGGAAACTGACAACTGTAACTGCGACAACAAAAACACTTGCCCACTACCGAAACAATGCATGACCAACAAACATTATTTACAAAGCAACAGTCACAACGAACAACACGAACGACACTAAACACTACATCGGCATGACTGCGACTACATTTAAGGAACGTTACGCTAACCACACTTCATCTTTTCGTCATAAAAAAGACTCAAACAAAACGGAACTTTCGAAACATATTTGGAAATTAAAAGAAAACAATCAGGATTATACCATCAAATGGTCAATTTTAAAACACGCTATTTCGTACACAGGGGGATCAAAACGCTGCAATTGATGTTGGGAAGAAAAATTTTGCATTTTGAAAGACATAAACAAAGACAATTTACTCAATAAAAGAAGCGAAATTTTCGGCAAATGTCGTCACAAAAACCGGTTTCGAGTAAACAAGGTCGTTAACAAAACCTAATGACCCAAGCATGCATTGTTTCACCTATAAGCATTGTTTCGCCTACACGCATTCCGCACATTCTTTCTATTGCATAAAAGCAACCTACAATTTCGAAATTATTCACCACCTGATGATTCCTATACGGATGAAACAGACTGTTGTGGTTTTTTTGAGGTAAAACGAAAAACTATATTACGCTCTATCTATATGGTATTGAGCACTGTTTGTGTTTCGTAAACCAAATTCTTAAGCTATATATATATATATATATATATATATATATATATATATATATATATATATATATATATATATATATATATATTATAGGGTTATCTGAATTCCTAATATCAAAACTAAGCTAAAAATGTAATTGCTTAACTGCGAAAGGCTGATTCTAAACCTGAACTTGCATACATAATTTAAATTACACAAGGGCCTCTTAGGCCTGTTAGTGTAATTATGATTATACGAGCAAACGAAGGGAGAAATATATGGGAAAACATATGGTAAAGCTTGTCTTACCGTGCTCTAACTCACGTTTCAACGCTTCCGGAACCGGAAGAGAAAAGAAAGAAAAGAATGGGTCACATTACGCGGCATATAAATACGCCAATCTCCCGGTGCCCAATCGGCTATTTTGAACACGTCTGAACAAACAGGGTACGGGAGGAAAACCGCTTGACGGTTAAAGGGTGGGCATATATACTTCTCCTTTCGTTTGCTCGTATAATCATAATTACACTAACATGCCTAAGAGGCCATTGTGTAATTTAAATTATACTTCACAAACTCCGGTCGAAATATATGGGAAAACATATGGTAGATTTCAACGTAATAGACCAATTGCGAAACTTAGTAGCCGCGCCTTCATACTGCACGAGAACGAGGCTTATTATGCAAAAACAAAACAATTTCTATATTTTTATAGAGCGAAAAGTGAATTTCCATGTTCATATCTTCGGTTAATTGTATACGATGTAGACAAAAATACAACTGTTAGAACCGCTGTTTCACAATCTCATGTCGACCTAATTTTGTTTGTGTACAGTACAACGCAAGCGATTTATAAGTTTTTAAATCGTTAAGATATGTGTTTTCTAAAATACGTACCGGATGTTCAACACAACAAACATATCCTGAACTTTGCCGGACTATATCTTCGCTCGAATGAAAGCTTTCGAGACAGAAATACCACCTTTAGAATCACCGTATCACAATCTGTTGATGTCTTGAATTTCGTAAGATTACGACATAAACAACACATTTTATGTGCATTTTCGAAAATGCACGTGCATTCGTGACGCGTCGTAAACCCATCGGCAACCTTCGGAGCCTAAATTCACCGGGTTCATTTCACCCCCATGGTCTAAAAACCCTCGGCATTCGATTCCCCATGATGTAATACCCCAGTATCGTGAATTTCATTGGTTTACGGCAAGATCCGAGCCTTATATGGCATTTTTTAGATTATAAGTGATGCGCGCACAAACGGCTTGCTGCCGTCTTTGATATTTTCAAATATACAAAAGATGGCTCTTAGTATTGATGCAGTCATTGATCAATTACACAATGAAATGTTTCCATTCGAAGCTAGTGGAATATCATCCGATGAAGAAGACGACTTGGACAGACGTTTGGCGATGTCAGATAGCGACGCAAGGCAAGTATTTACATGTTTTTAGCGAACAGATGTTTTCAAGTCATGGTCGAAGGATTAAATTTACATTTGACGCAATGTGAACTTTGACGCACATTTGCCATAAGAGTTTGATCTATAAACTAAGATCTGATACGAAATATAACAAATATACTAAGGCATTTATTTGAGAGTTCTGTCGTTTATATTGTCACAAAAATCAAAGGTTTGAAACGATATCAAAATGTGTTAGCGTCATGTTGCACACGTGGCATAAGTGGGCATTTAAAAAATTAATTTATGCATTTTTGTTTATATCAAGTAAGATAATAGCATGTATCAGTATGTTTATAGTGTTTTGTCTTTTTATAGTGATGAAGAACCTGCTGATGAAGAAGATGATGATTTTGAAGTAGATGACGAAGATCCGAATTGGGAGGAGGATGGTGATTTAGGGGAGGGTAGTGGTGGAAGGGGCCGATCCCCAATTAGGAGACGGGCTGACTCCCCTAATGGTACTTCTGGCAATACGGGGAAGAGGCAGCAGGGCCAGGGGCAGTGGGGCCAGGGGCAGTTGGGGCAGGGGCGCTAGGGGCAGGTGTGGTAGGGGCAGGGGTGGTAGGGGCAGGGGTGGAAGGGCTAGGTATACCGGGGCAAACATTAGTAGTAGTAAATCTTATGATGATGCGGACATTAGGAATACCCTCCCTCCCTTTCAACGAAGCCGTCCGCCAGGAATTCATTTTGATAGGCATGTCTTGCGGGGAGGAATGACAACTGAATTAGAATTTTTTCGTCTCTTCTTTACCACTGAGATGATAAAAATCAGTTGTTGCCCACACCAACAGCTACGCATTCATGAGACTTGTAGCTGGGGGGTTCACTTCATACACCACTGGGGAGGGGGCCTGGCAAACAACTACTGAAGATGAAATAAATCGTTTGATTGCCATTTTGATTTATTTTGGTCTGGTACGTGTGGACACAGCAGTTGAAAAGTATTGGAGCACGAAGACCCTTTACCACGGTCTCTGGGCGAGGAAAATACTTTCCCGTAGGCGTTACAAAGCCCTTATGGCATTCTTGCATGTGGTAGACCCCGCCGAAGAGGTTGCTAGCAATAAACTGCGCAAGGTTGAGGAGTTTCTGGCACCATTCAAAGAGCGATGCCGTATGTTATACCAACCGTACCAGAATATTGCTGTAGATGAACGCATGGTTAAGTCTAAACATAGGTCAGGGATTAGGCAATACATGAAAAATAAGCCTACAAAATGGGGGATAAAGCTCTGGGTACTGGCAGATAGTTCAAATGGATATACAATTGATTTTAATGTTTACATAGGTAAGTCCCAGCATGAAGCACCGTCACGTAATGGCCTTGGTTATGATGTGGTGATGAAGTTGGTGAATCCATATTTGGGGCAAGGGTATCATGTATATTATGATAATTTTTTTACATCCCCTAAGTTAGTCCAAGATCTGTTCATGAATGGGACCCGATCATCAGGCACATGTAAAACTAACATGGATGGTTTCCCAAATGCATGAAGGATGTCAAATGTGTGGGCGAGGAAGTTGGAGCGAGGTAGCATGCGATGGGCAAGGGAATCCAATGTGTTAACCTTGCAATGGGTTGATAACAGGCCTGTTTCCTTGATTACATCAATTGATTCCGCGAATGATAAAAAGGATGTGGAGAGAAGGACGAAAACGAGGGGAGTGTTTGAAAAGGTAATTGTAAAACAGCCCTATGCATTTCATAGATATAACCAGTACATGAACGCATTAGATAGGTCTGACCAAATGCTTGCATGTCATAATGTAAATCGTAAATGTTATCGATGGTGGAAGACATTATTTACCACTAATAGATATGGCAATTGTTAACAGTTTCCTTCTATTTGAAAGCCATCGTAACAGTGACCCGGGTAATCCGGCGTTGTTTCGTAAGTCCACATATTCTATAGTGGATTTTAGGGAGGAGATAATTAGACAAATTTGTGGGTTAGCAGAGTATGATAGACCTCCAGTGAATGAGCAAGTGCAGGCTGTTCCTCCCCATGATCAGTTTTGTACTGCCCATTTAGCTACAACAGCATAAAATGGTGTAAGAAGGAATTGCATTGTTTGTTATGCGGAAGGACGAGGGGAGAAGAAGGTATCTACTTATTGTAGTGCCCCTCAGTGCAATAAGCACATGCATTTTGGTGGTGAGCATGATTGTTTTGTAGTGTGGCATAGTAGGGATTACACTGGTAAGAGGTCATGAATATTTCTGCATTTGGTATTTTCGTGGACTGAAACATGTACAACATCAAATTTGTCAAACGAATGAAATTTGTATCATATTTTCCCATTATGATTACAGGTCATTCATTGTATGACATACATTTCATTTTTTAATAAAATTTCCTTACTATATGTGTTACATTCATGTATATTCAATGTAATTATTATTATTTGCTTTATTATTAAAAATTGAAAAAAGAAGCGTGTTGTGGATGAATTTGATTTCAGGCGTTGTCATTCAATCTCACAATAGTACCTTTGGGTGCCTGTACAAATTCTTTTTTTCACTCAATCAAATGTGAAAATTTCCCTTGAACTGGGCAGAACATAGTGGTATCAGCTACTTTTAAAATTATGTTGTTGCACACATTTTCTGTTTACCGGGGGGGGGTGACTTTCCCATTTTGGATTGCCGAATTGCTTAGAATCCTTATTTCGACAAATATTAGAGAAAATTTCACTGGAAATATGGGGGGGGGGGAGGAGTTAAATTCTTAAAGCCTTCACACTACCACTATGTAAAAAAATATATATATGGCTCTGGCATGATTAATACATTGGAGACATGTCAATGAAATTGAGGGCACAATTCTGCTATTTTTAAAGTGTGAATTTCAAAAATAAAAAAAATAAAATTTTCTTTTAGTGAATTATTTTGAAACTTGGCACACATATACCATATAACCTAAGCAAACTTTTCATAAATATAATGTATTGCAAAATTTGCATTGTTTGATTGTAATGAGGCAAAATACAAATATAATTGCCACATTTTTGCATAATGTATGCAAATTTATGCATTTTTTGGTCACGTGTCACATTTCAAATATGAACCAACCGTCATCAATCGATAGCCGAAGTCATGAGCTTTAAAACTATGCATTATGCGCTTAAAAGAGTCAAGTACTCGCAGAGAAAATCGCACCGGAACATACCACACCTATTTCGTGCTAGGTTATATAAATATTTGTTAAATTTATCTAAACACCGATTTCCCACTATATTTTTACCCGCTTTGAAGATATACTTCGTTGTTGTTTTAGCATGCGCTGGAACAAACATATGGAAAAGATCAATCTAGACTTTAAAATCTGATCAAGATGCAAATAAAATAGCCAGTATAACTTAAAAAACTAAAATATAACTCTTTCTACCCAGATTTTTTTTGACTTCGTGCGAGAAAAAAACGATTTTGTCAAAGGATAATAACATAAAATTTCTACAAATTTTGCCCGACATTTACTTATATATTTTTAAAGTTAAAATAAAAAACTTGCTATTATATTACAACTGAAACAAAATAGGCCCTTTCAATGTTTAGTCCGCCATATTGCCGGGGGTGCAAAACATTGGGGCGAGCGCGCGGCCATGCCAAGGCTGACATATATTTTACTAATGAGTGAGCGATAATTTTGTGTGGACATTTTGTTGATTTTCTCATACTCTATTAAAAGATAGTCCAAACTTTTGTATTCTGGCTGATCGGTGTGTATTTTCAAAGTACTGGTAAAGATTTCAATGGAATCTGATTGGGGGAAATCCGTAAATATGTTGATTTCTTCGACACCTTTCGGCGAGCTGTTTACAGTGGATTCACGACAACGAAACGCCGAAAACAGGGCTTTTATGTCTGTATTTGTTTAAACAAAACAACATTACAAAAGAATCATGTTTAAAAACAATACAATAAAGCTGTCGGGAAAGAAGAAAGACGTCCAGGTGCGAGAGCTCGAGTGTAACCTGACACCGACGTCAATCTCACCTTTAATTATATGACATACTATTAGTAATTAGATATAAGAGATAAACTTCTAAAAGTAGGCGAATCCAAAGGGTGTATAATATTTAACAGTTATTCTACGAACTCGAGTCGAATATGAGCTGATAGCCGATGAGGCGCGTAGCGCCGAATCGGCTATCGCTCATATTCGACGAGAGTGAGTGGAATAACTCTTTTATTATATACACAAGGTCTGAATTCACAGACTTTGCTTTTCGAATATTTTCAATATTTTTCTATTTTGTTTAGGGACTGCTTATTATTTATTGTACAGGGGGAGACTGAGGAGAAACTCTACAGTTATAATATTTTTTCGTTGGCCGCCTCTTAAGATAAGTAAAATTTTCAAAGCCCCCACCCCCAACAGGCAAAACAAGAACATAAATTTTAACAACCCTCCCCCCCCCCCACTCTAGCTCTTTTTCTTTATTTAGAGAAACAAAAACTCTAGCTCTTTATTTAGAGAAACACAAATAGATAATGGGTACCAATAGACAATTCCCATTATAGACCAAAAAAGTATATTCCCTGGAAGGGCATACTAAAATTAATAAAATTGCAATGTTTGGTTGCAAAATGTTGTAAAATGTAGAAAATATATAGCCTTCCAAAGTTGCAAAAATTTTGTATACTTTTGTATTGCAATTTTCGCATGCAATACAAAAGTATACAAAATTTGCAAACTTTGCAAGGCTATATTTTCCGTATTTTACAACATCTCGCAACCAAACTTTGAAATAATTTACTTATTTTAGTATGCTCTTTCTAGCAATGGTGATTTATTTGCATCAAGGCCGGATTTTGAGGGGAGGTGTGGAGAGGTGCGCACCTCCCCTGAGATCGTTTTGCACCTCCCCTGAGAATTTTTGCACTTCTCCTGAAAGGTCATGCACCTCCCCTTCGGAAAGTTTCAATGATGGAACAAAGTGAAAATGTGATGGTTGCTTAGGATCTACACTTCGTGACATAAGAAAGTTTTCTCTGTAAAATTGAAACAGTGATAGCCATTCATATCTGTGTCAAGTACACTGTTAATGCAATGTTTTGAAAGAAACTTTGTAGCAATTGCAATGAAGGGCAAGATTGGAGTCATACATTCATAATTCATTAATACACTGGTACATATGTACACTACATGCATACCTCACCTTGTTGATATTGGCCTGTTCTACAATAAGCCCTAACTTTCCATGGGAGTTGTGAGCTAGACCGCTGCACCTCTCCTAAAATTTTTGTCCACCTCCCCCACTATTTTCACCAAAATCGGCCTTGATTTGCATCTCTTTGCCTAGTTCTAAAATTAGTCTATAATGGGAATTGTCTATTTACATGAACATGAGAGACTTTTTATTTGACTTCCATTTATGAATATTAAAGTCTATAAATATTGTTATTTGTTGTTAAGTTGTTTTGTGATACATTTTTAAAACTACTGTTTTTTCAAACTGGTAAATATTTTCAAAGCCCCCCTTCTTTCGTCTCTCTGTATTTTTTCAAAGCCCCCCCTTTCAGGTTTTGAAAAATTTGAAGGCCCCCCCAGTTTCTCCTCAATCCCCCCTGTACAATAAATAATGAGCGGTCCCTTATGTTTTTATCTTCGCTTTTTCGGCCGATTATTTTTTCAAAAATATATATTTTTAACCATTTTAAATATTAAAAATTTATTTGCTAACCTGAAAACAATTTGTGGGAGTTTTTTCATTGTGTTTTAAATCCTGTGAAGACTATAAAAAGCGACAACTTGCCGTTTTCTCGTTTGCAAAACATCGTAAATTCAGTTTGGCCGCCATTTTGAGCTATGAGCTAATATCCTGCTAGTAGAGAACCAATCAGATTGCAGAATACCTCATATCCAGACCTTGTGTATATAATAATGAGAGATATTGAGAGTTTCAGTTGTTCTCATAGTCAGAACCACCCCCATAGCCAACTGCATGAGAGCAAAACACAGGCAGAAGGAACAGTATCTACAATGCTGTTCAATAATCTTAAAAACCTGCCTGAAGTTTTGATAAATGTTTGTGACTACCAATCAAATTCATCAAAGTAGCACAAGAAACTCATCAAAACTTCACAAGTGGTATAAAAGACCAAATTATGTAAAACATATTCTCTCTAAATAATGGAGTTGATGTATGGAACTCACTAGAATAAAAAATAAAGACATAAACTCTCAATACATCTTCAAAAAACAAATTAAGCAGCATTTGTTGATGAAAACATTCTATTTGCATATTATTCTATTTGCATATTATTGTTCCTCGATTACTCTGAAAATTCTCTCTCTGATTTAACTGTAAAATAGAATAATATATTATAAATCTAACAGTTAACTATAAACCTTTACTAATCACTAGGGGCCTAAAGCAAAAAGCCTGACAAGGTATCTAGTAGATCTTTAGCCCAAATTAATATAAGGGAAAATATGTAAATATTGTCTATGGAACTGTACATAGGGGAGAAAAATTAAAACTAAATAATTAAATGATAAAGAAACTCTTTCATTGGTAATATTTCTGTCCTCAGGTTTTCTGGGGTCAAATTCTTTCCTCAATGTTTAATCGCAGCCAGGTGTTTGGTCTAAATATTACATTTTTAACCTTGCTTGGATTTACTTCTTTTCATGTTCCTTTGTTCCATCCCTGGGGAACACTGGTACAGGCACACAGGCAGGGGAAATATATTGCTTGTTGTAAGCATAGTTGATCTTATACATAGAGGACTACAAGTACATGATGATTACATGCCTCAACTGTTCTACCTGTTCAAGGACACACATCGACACTTTTATATGTGAGTCATCACAAATCCTTTGTGATGGACATACTGAGCTTTACAAAAAATGTCATGGTCTTGTCAATGGGGCATTTGGCAATATAAATTATATAAATAAATCCACTCATCCAATATGAGTAGGCCCTCTCATCTTTGCATTTGCCAATATATTCAACATCCACTGCATTTACTCGTAGAATGTAGCATTCCATCATCAAGATGTGGCCATATTTGAATGTCATCTTTCCAATATTCATTGCAGAGAGTGTTAGGATCGCTCTTAATAATATGATTAGTTTGTAGCCTTTGTTGGTATATTAATTTATACTATAAAAAATTTGTTCCTGTGTAAATTTCTTTGCAGCACCTAATTCATACCCTTTAAATGCTCTTGCCACAAGTTCAACCTTTTTCCACTCTGTCAACCAGACTCAACCCAACGAAATCCTCGCATTCAAGCTTCTCCTTTGTAGCCATAAACAGCCAAAGTAAAATGACTATTTGCAATATAACCTTCTATTAGAGGATAAAATATAAACAACTCAAACTCTCAATATCTCTCAATATATACCCTTTGGATTCGCTTAGATTTATAAGTTTATCTCTAAAATATCCATGTGATATTAAGGTGAGATTGACTTTGTTATCAGGTTACACTCTCGCACCTGGACGTCTTTCTTCTTTCCCGACAGCTTTGTTGTATTTTTTTTAAACATGATTCTTTTGTAATGTTGTTTTTTTAAAGCCCTGTTTTTGACGTTTCGTTGTCGTGAATTCACTGTAAACAGCTCGCCGAAAAGTGTCGAAGAAATCAGCATATTTACGGATTTCCCCCAATCAGATTCCATTGAAATCTTTACCAGTACTTTGAAAATACACACAGATCAGTCAGAATACAAAAGTTTCGACTATCTTTTAACATAGAATGAGAAAATCAACAAAACGTCCACACAAAATTATCGCTCACTCATTAGTAAAATATATGGCAGCCATGGCTTGGCTGCGCGCTCGCCCCAATGTTTTGCACCCCCGTCAATATGGCGGAATAAACCTTGAAAGGGCCTATTAATCAATGTTACAACTTATTTTTGAAATGTATTAATAAAACAGACGGAAAATACCTAATTCTTTCTCTGGTATAATCTGCTTCTTTTGTCGGACTGCGAAAAACAGCAAAACTTTGCCTCGCACGCCGCGAAAAACAATGAAATTTGAAGTAAGACTAAATCTATGAACAAGTTTAATAAAGATTTACATAGTCAAAACAAAAATATTGAAAAAAAAATGAAGAGATTACCATAAAAACGCGTCTCAAACACTGAAATTCATTTTTCGCCATATAAAAATATAGCAGAATGATTTATTTTTGCATAATAAACCTCATTTTCGAGCAGTTTAAGGCGCGGTCACTAAGTTTCGCAATTGTTCTATAGCTACGAATTATATCAAATTACCAAAAAAGCACAAAAGCGAAACTTTAATAAAATACAAAAAGTAGACCATAAAAATTACATGAGGAAACCCAAACTCAACAATAATTTGTAATAAAACCGTTGGAAAGTCGAAAAGGATGTCCAATCACCCATTATAAGATTGTCATTTAGTGGTAGCTGTTTCTTAGCAGCAGTTGAAGTTGAGGTTGCTCTTGTGGAATGAGCCTTAAATATTGTGGAATCGATGCCAGAGGCTGTTACTGTGTCACACAACCATCTGGCAATTGTACTTTTGGAGACATGGCGATGTGGACGTAGAGTCGAGAGAAACAACTTCTTACATTCAGGTAGAGACCGAAACTCGCTTGTAGCGTTTAAATATGATTCCAAGCATTTCAAGGGACATAGCGTGCTGTCTTCCTTAAAACATGGGAATGCTATTGTTGTGAGAGGTCTTGGGTCCCCTGTATTTCGAGGTTTAGTTAGTGTGAATGTGAAGCCGTCTGGCTGTTTCTTCAGGATCTGGATATCAAGGTCCGACAGAACAGACGATCTCTCTGATGAAAACAATGCTAGCCACATCAGGACTTTTTTAGTTAGCAATTTTAGGCATAACTTATCATTATCCCCTAGTGAAGATAAATATGAAGTTACCCTGGACACATCCCAGGTTGATGAATATCTTGGCTTTGAAGGTCGTTCATTAGCAATGCCCTTCATTAGTCGGATAACCAGAGGGTGTTGTCCAACCGGCTTGCCATCAATCCATGGATGTACAGATGATATGGCAGAACGAAGGACGTTTATGGTACGGTATTGCAATTTGTTGTCAAATTGGTCGCTTAAGAAGACTAAAATATCTCTGATATTTGCCGAAATTGGATCAATTTGCCTTGTATCACACCAGCTAGTCATAGGCTTTGTTTGTCGACTGTCGTGTGGCGGAAGACAACAGTCGGGTAACTGTACCCGGAAAGCCTTCTGCTGAGCAGCGTTGTTGGAGATGACCCAGACGGCTAGCCGGAGTCTTGGATACATTGGATGAGTGGCCCCTAGATTGGACGGATTCTCCAGGAGAGTTTGAGACAATGGAAGACGAACTTGGTAGGCTTATTGCCAGCTGTAGTAACAGGGGACACCAATGTTGTGCTTGCCAAATTGGTGCTACTAAAAGTAGAGTTGCATTGTCATCTCTCACTTTCATTAGTGTTCGAGGAATCAGATTGAATGGGGGAAATGCATATCCCCTCATGGTACTCCAGTTCACTGTAAACGCGTCTGTTGCGTAAGCGTGGGGATCTGGGCGCCAACTTACATAACGTGGCAGTTGATTCGTCAATCTGGTGGCAAACAGGTCGATTTCCCTGTCCTTGAGAAAAGGCTGTATAACCTCCGATTGTATTTTCCAATCGCTCGAGTCGATGAACACCCTCGATTCTCTGTCCGCTTGGACGTTCCGGACACCCGGAAGGTATTCCGCCTTCAGAAATATATTGTGTCGTAGACACCAATTCCACAGCTCTAGAGTCAGAGACATTAACTTTGGAGAGCGGGTTCCGCCCTGGTTGTTGATGTATGAGACCGCTGTCGTATTGTCCAGGCGAAGTTTCACTACTATGTTTGATTGGTGTTTCAGGAATGATTATATGGCAAGAAATGCTGCCTTCAGTTCGAGGACATTTATGTGAAGGAGATACTCCTCGTGTGACCAACGTCCGTTGGTTGAAATATTGGCACAAGTGGCCCCCCAGCCCATCTTGGAGGCATCCGATGTGATAATCATTTCGGATGAGGGGGGACGAATTGGACTTCCATGGACCTGATGGATATTCAGAATCCACCATTGCAGTTCGCCTAGTGCCGGTCTGCTCAGGTGGACTGTACCGTGATAACCCCCATTGTTCAACGCTACTTGCTCGATCAGGCACGACTGAAGGTGCCGAAAATGGAGTGGAGCAAGCCATACTGCTGATCGACAAGACTCTAGGAAGCCCAACAGTTGAGATAGCAGATGTAAGGATGTTGGATTTTCCTTCATCAAGGATTTGCACAGGCGAGAAGTCTTCGTTATCTTCTCCGGAGGTAAATAAAACTTCATAGTTACTGCATTGATTATGAATCCTAGGAACTCTAGTATCTGGGTTGGTGTCAGAATTGACTTCTCGAAATTGATTATGAACCCCAGATCTTGGAGCAGGTTTATCACTATATTCGTGTGCTGTCGCAAAATCAACGGACTTGACGCCACCAGAAGGATATCGTCCAGATAAATCAGAAGTCTGATGTTTCGCGTGCGGAGAAAGGCCACCACTGGTCTGAGCAATTTTGTGAAAACCCGCGGTGCAGTGTTTAGGCCAAATGGCAGGGCTTGGAACTGATAAACCTGACCCTGCCAAATGAACCTGAGGTATTTCTGAGAGTCGGGATGAACACCGACTGTTAAATATGCATCCTTGAGGTCTAACTTGACCATAAAATCCTGTGGATTTATAATTTGTTTTGCGCATAGCAAGTTTTCCATCTGGAAGTGTTCGTTTACTACGAACTTGTTCAACTGACTGAGATCTATAACAGGGCGAAATGAGCCTCCCTTCTTTGGGACTAGGAACATGCGACTGTAAAATCCGGTCGGGGAAAATATTACGGGGATAATTGCCCCCTTGTTCAGTAATTTTGTTATTTCCTCGTTCATTATGTTTAAGTTTTCCGTGGGCGTTGTTCGCGGGATAAGTTTTTGCCACGGTTCCGAGCAAAAATTTAGTTGATAACCCCGAACAGTCTCTAAGACCTGTTGGTCTTGAGTAATACTTTGCCACTGACGGAGGAAATGGGGAAGTCGTGCCGTTCGCTGAGTTATTGGCGGGGCCAGCTGCGGTTTGTCTGGTCCCGCTTGCCGCGAAAATTCGAAGGTCTAGTATTAGTGGAAAATGATCCTCGCTGACCTGACCTCGCTGACCTGACCTGGTTAGGTTCTGAATAGTTATACTTGTTTGCTGGGCGGACAAACGCCGCAGGACTGCCTCCTGAACTGTGAGGTTTTGCACTGTAAGGTTGCTTTTGCAAGTTTTTAGCAAGGCTCCGAGATAATTCGGAATGCTTGGCTGCTAGGGAGGGCAAATCTTCCCCAAAAAGCATTTTTCCCGCATTAGGAAAGTCACGATCAGCTAGTTGTGCTTTATCAGGATTAATCGCTCCCAAAATTTTCTTCCGGCGATTAGTTGTCACTATGTGGTTAGCTGAACCCAACAAACACAGTGATTGTTGAAGGGTGTTTAACAGTTCCTCATTAGAAATCTTGTCCTGATTTTCGAGGCGGTCATGTAGACAACAAAGAGGACCTGCCGAGTTTAGTAATGCGCGTTGAATAAGCGCCAAATCTTTGTCTCGTTGTTCAACGAATTTTTTGCGGCTGGAGGGAATATAATTCAGAATCTGTTTGTCCAGTAAAGGAGCAACACATGCTTCAGTTTCGGGGAGAGAACTTTCTCCGATTATTTCGTTAACTTGTTCTAAAGTTAGGCGTCTACGCATGTTTTTCTCAAGAAATTTGCCAAAGGGGTCTGAAGGAGACCATCGTCGCTGAGATGTACTCTCAGGGTCAAAGAACTCGCATGAAGTTCCTTCCTCAGAAACGACAACGTTCGGGTTAGTGATTTCGTTTATATTTGTCGGCTCAACGCCGTCTAAAGGTGGCAAAGAGCCAGCTAAAGGAGCCTCAATGGCGGGATTGTTGACAACAATATTTATATTGTCGAATTCCTTCGGCGAGTCTGACGGGTGAATTGATAGTTGATCGTCGTCGAATTCGCCAGAATACTGGGACGTTGCACCAGAGTTTTCGTTCAATTTTGCCTCAATGGCAGTTACACGAGTGGTCCAGGCCACAAACTGTTGCTTCATATCATTGACACCTGCGAGAATTTTGGTCAAAGTGTCCTCGTTGACGCCAGGGTCAATGTTATTTTCCCGCCTTCGCTTGTGTTGATCTTGTCGATGACCTCGGTTTTCGGGGTCTTTTGACGAAGATCTTTCGCTTGGAGACGAAGTACGATCACTACGATGACGTTTACGATTAGATTTATCAGGCATCCTGGAAAACCTAAAGCTCAAAGTTAAATAAAGGCTTAAAAAGTTCACAAACTTACCGTATAAGAGTTACACGTGAGTGAGCACGAAGAAAAAAGCCGATTAGGCACCGGGAGTTTGGCGTATTTATATGCCGGGTCATGTGACCCATTCTTTTCTTTCTTTTCTCTTCCGGTTCCGGAAGCGTTGAAACGTGAGTTAGAGCACGGTAAGACAAGCTTTACCATATGTTTTCCCATATATTTCGACCGGAGTTTGTGAAGTATAATTGGCTAAACAAAGATATTACAAAGAGGCTTTTCATGGGTGTGTAGGCAATCCGCGCAAAACATGGGGAGTTATAAATGAACTTACATCAAGAAAATCTAAAAGTTCCTTTGTTAACGAGATAAAATGCGAAGGCGTGTCAATAACTGATTCGTCGGATCTCACTGAAGCCTTTAATGACCACTTTGTCGCTGTTGGTCCAAAACTGGCTGATGAAATTTCGACTAGCGTAAACAATCGCTCTCCCCTACATTATCTCAGTAGTCATATACATGACCATGAACCCTTTCAGTTAGAATCAACAAATAACTCTAAAGTTTTCTCGTTGTTATATAGGCTTAGCAAATCCAAAGCAACTGGTCTGGACAAAATCTCTGCTAGACTCTTACGTGAATGCGCTGATCTCATTTCGAACTCCCTTTGCTTGATTTTTAATTGCTCCATTTCTACTGGTGTATTTCCAGATGAATGGAAGTGTTCTAAAGTTATACCTTTATTTAAAAATGGGAGTCACTCTGAGTTGAACAATTATCGACCTATTTCGATTATTCCGGTTGTTGCTAAAGTTTTTGAGCGAATTGTATACGATCAAGTATTATAAAATAACATGTATATAACGCGTATTCTGATTGGTCGAAAGCCGTGTTTGGATCAGGCCATCCAAACACGGAAGACTACCGTGTTGTTGTTATTTTATAAAACAATTACTTTATGGTTTCCGTGTTTGGATGGACTGATCCAACCACTTGGGAATGTTGCTCGAGTTAAGAAAAGCGGGCAAAATCACTCGCCTTCGGCTCGTGATTTCGCTCGCTTTTCTTAACTCTCGCAACATTCCCGCGTGTTTGAATCAGGCCATCAAAACACGGAAACCATAAAGTAATTGTATATTGGCTTATATTAACAATTATAATTTGATTACAAATTGTCAGTCTGGATTTCGCGGTCTTCACTCCACTGCCACCGCTCTATTGGAGGCTACGGATAATTGGGCATATAATATTGATAGCGGTTGTGTGAATGCCGTTGTTTTTCTAGACCTAAAAAGGCCTTTGACACGGTAGATCACGATATCTTATTATCTAAACTTAATGCGTACGGTATTAGAGGTGTTGTACACAAATGGTTTGAGTCTTATTTGAATGGTCGTCACCAAAAGTGTTTTGTAAATGGGTGTCTATCCGAAAACCGCGCATTAACATGTGGTGTTCCTCAAGGAACAATACTAGGGCCGTTATTATTTTTATTGTATATCAATGATTTGCCGAATTGCCTCTCACATTCACAGCCTCGTACGTTTGCAGACGATACTCACTTGACATATGCGGATAATGATATCGCTAAAATCGAACTTAATCTCACTAATGATCTTGAGAGTATTCGTGAGTGGCTTATTGTTAATAAATTAACACTGAACATGTCCAAAACTGAATTTATGGAGATAGGTTCGAGACAGAGACTTTATACGTTTGATAATGCTCCAGTACTTACAATCGAAGAGGCTCCTATCAAACAGGTAAAATCAACCAAGTCTCTGGGCCTTCACATTGATGAGCATCTCTCATGGTCTGTTCATGTTGATGCCATTTCCAAAAAAATCGCCTCTGGCATTGGTGCGCTAAAACGCATCAGGCCTTTTGTTCCTCGTACAACTCTGCATACTATTTTTCATTCACTAATTCAACCACATTTTGACTATTGCAGTGTTGTGTGGGGGAATTGTAATAAAACTCTTGTTACTAAAATGCAGAAATTACAAAACCGTTCGGCTAGGGTTTTAACATTTTCCGGCTATGATACTAATGCTGATGGCTTCTTCAAGACCTTGGATGGGAAAACCTTGAAACACAGCGCCAAATTCATCAGGCTGTTATGGTCTATAAGTCGATAAATGGTTTGGCTCCTGAATATCTTCGTTCAAAATTTGTTGATCGTAGCTGTGTTTCGGGTTATTCTCTTAGGGACACTGTTGGCAAACTTGCTGTTCCTTTTCCTCGTACTAACTACCTAAGAAACTCCTTTAGTTATAGTGGTGCAGTAACATGGAACAGCCTTCCTGTTGAGTTGAGGCAAGCTAATTCTTTAAATTCGTTTCGATCTGGCTGTAATAAATTTCTCTCTTCTCGATCGTAATACCTAATTAATACACGGCACTCATGTAAAGCAGGTTTTTCTTTTGTCATTTCTTTGTATGAATTTATATATTGTGTTATTTATATTGTAAGTAGTGTGTTATTAGTTTTATGCATAATTTTGTAGATTTATTTATATATATAGCTATATGTATGTAATCTTAATCCTGATGAGTACACCGTGGATAAATAAAGTTACCTTACCTTACCTTAACCAACATCGAACACGATCGGAACAAAGTAGTAGAACACGACCGGAACGACCATGTTCGATTTTGGTTTCGTTGGTTCCGGCCTTTTCCGATTCTTGTTCCTGTCGTTTCGTTCCGGTTGTTCCGGTGGTTTCGTTCCGGTTGTTTCGGGTTTTCGTACATGCCCGTCAAGACTTTTGCTCTATGTTATAAAGCTAGCATAATTGCTGGCATATTTATAACTTAATTAGTCTCTATCCAAAAACAGCCATATTTGAAACATAGTGAACAATTTTGTACGTTCTTAACGCGAAAAATTTAAGCCGTAAATTATAGCTTATAATTAGTCGAATTAGCGAAAAATGACTATATTCATGACGCGCCTGTCAGGCGAAAAACACACTGCCCAAAGATTTTATTCTTTATTCTAGTAGATGTGTCATAATTCTCAGTAGCTGCAATAGATTGGATACCTAATACCGTTGCACTTTTGAGAAAAATAAATTTACCGCCGGCATACTAACACAAATATTTAATCCGCTGTCTGCAAAACGTTTTTAAAAAATCACAATATTTTGTTTGCTTCAAGTGATCATAGTAGGGCTGCTAAGACACCAAATTTAGGCAAATCGTTCAAATTGTGATCACATTCTGAAACTTGGCACAGATACTCATTAGGATATGCGGAATATGGAATGGAAGGACTGCCCAAAATTTGAGCAGGGGAAAGTGCCTATTTCGGCCTTCAAAATGGCCGACATTCTGTATGCGCCTTGAGGAAAATTATCTCATTTAGTCATCACATCTGTGAACAAATGGACACGCTTAGCAAAAATACACGCAAGAGAAGGCTTTCAACAATATTGTATGTTGCATTGTCATGAAATTAAGGATATTTCAGAAAAACAGTAGTGCGCATGAGCAGTCACATTACCCTAAAATTTGATGTTTTACCGCTTTTCCTGAGTATATTGTATCCAGAATATATAATATAAAGAGTAAAATGTCATATAATGCGTCATAAAGTGTCATAAAAGACTCCTTCGGCTTGTGTGGTCTTTTTGGTAAAAAATAAATTACGGTAACGCTCACAAATGTACGGGGACTTTGCCCACAAATATAAAGGAATTGCTATGTTTCAAAAGTAGGAGCTATATACTCATTTAAAGACCAAATGTTAACGACGCGAAATTTATATTCTTTATGTCTGTCAGTGAGGTCCGCAATGTTAATTTTTGACGCAGCATGGTTGTTTTTGGCATTATCTAACATTTCGCTTAGTGACATCTACACAGCTCTGTATACTTCAACAAACTCTTTGCATTTCATCTACCAACCCTACATTTGGTGCACCACTACACCCTGACAACAAATCAGCGCTTCAGTCATTGGGAAACGTCGGGCATGCGGCATTGCGGCTCCAAACTTCGCCATCCTTCATTCATCCCCAATATGTGGGTTCCAGCGCTACTCTTGCGGCTTCATAAACAATTGTATCACTTTCGTGCTTGTAACGCAGATCGTTTTTACGTGTTCGTCCAATGCACCAGTTGTTGGCAGTTGGGAATATATTGTCAATGGTTTTTCCCTTGCTTATGAAAAAGTATCGCCTTGCATCGTTGACCTTGTCGCCATCAAATGTGCTGCAATAAAGAGCTGCAACAAATTGTTTCAAAAGATCACTGTCTGCTTTAGATATATTATCTTCCGACGTTGCTCCTCTGAATGATTTTTTGCAACGCTGAATGATTTATTGCCTTTACCTTTCAACGATGATGTGGTATCAGCCACTTAATGCGTAGAAAAACAGGAACGCGGTTAAGCGATGGAGGTTTGAGGTCCTAAGGATGCTGCAATTTTGCGGATTGGAACGTTCCTTACTCCAAACTCAAGCTATAGTTTTTTGAGGCTGTGGATCCTGTGGAAAGCTCCGAGTGCAAAACAACAATAACAACGTCACAGTCTACAGTCTTGACCAAAACGTGTGGACAGAGTTCAGCGATATGTTGGACATGGAGACATATACGTTTATCGGCTTCTTCGATGTTGCATGCCATCAACAATCCAAGATCTACATCCTGATTCGCCACAACTCTGTTATCTAGAGACCCCAGGAATAGTCCACGTGTATCAATGCTTTCAACCAGTAAAAATAGTTCCGTTTTGTTTTCACCTTATTTTCAAATGTCATCCTACCGAAAATGAAATATCATCTAAGGTCAGCTAATCAATTTGGTTTTTCGATAGGTACTTTAAGGGCAGTTTAAAGTCTGGTACACGGTCAAACCGTGGTTCTGGTGTTAGGAGGCTCGTGAAAGCAACGGGAGTATGCCAAACAATTAGTCAACGATTCTTAGATGCGACGAAAATAAAACGGAACTGTTTCCCTTCTTCGTTAAAGTACTGATTGAGAGCATTGATACACGTGTACGGGGTCTCTAGACGGCAGGGTAGTGGCGAATCAGGATGTAGATCTTGAATTATTGATGCCGCAGATAAACGTATGTTTGTCCATGCTCAACGTGCTGCTAAACTTTCTCCACGCGTTTTGGTCAAGACTGTAGACAGTGATGTTGTTGTTGTTGCACTCAAAGCTTTCCACAAGATCCACGGCCTCCAAGAACTGTGGCTCAAGTTTGGAGTGGGAAGCATTTGAAGTACTTTCCAATCCACGTAATTACCACATCACTAGGACCTCAAGCCTCTTTGTGATACCACATCAGCGTTCAAAGGTGAAGGCAAGAAATCATTAAGCGAAACATGGAAACAAATACCCAGCTTGACTCCAGTGTTTGAACGAGTAGCAACGTCCGAAGGTAAGATATGTGAAGCAGACAGTGATCTTTTGGAACAGTTTGTTGCAGCTTTTTATTGCAGCACATTTGACGGCGAAGAGATCAACGATGCAAGGCGATACCTTTTCGGGTATCAAGGGAAAAATAATTGACAAGCAAGGGAAAAATAATTGGCAACATACCCCCAGCAACTGCAGTGGCATAGCCAGAACGATAATTGGGGGGGGGGGCATATTCATATATTCGTGTTTACATACCATAGAAACAATTGATTTAAAAAAAAATTAATAAAGCAGAACACGAATATATGAATATGCCCCCCCCCCCCGATTATCGTTCTGGCTACGCCACTGAACAACTGCTGCATTGAACGAACACGTAAAACGATCTGCGTTACAAGCACGAAAGTGGTACAATTGTCCAGAAGCTGCAAGAGTAGAGCTGGAACCCACACACTGGGTTCCCGCCAGTCGATGCCCGACGTATCCTAAGTGACTAGTGAAGAGCTGATTTGTTCTGTGGTTGGTAGATGTAAATGCAAAGAGAGTGTATGGAGCTGTGTGTTTGTCAAGCGAAATATTAGTTAAGTAACGTATGTGGACCTCGCAGACAGACGTAAAGAATTTCAATTTCGCATCGTTCACATTTGAACTTCAATTCCCTTGTAATTGTGGGCAAAGTCCCCAGACGTTTGTGAGCGTTGCCGTGATTTATTTTTCACCAAAAAGAACACACAAGGCGAAGGTGTGTTTTTGATAGCAAGAGCTACCGTAACATTTCAATATTTCAAATGTTATCACAGTTAAAGTATGTGTAAGTTGCTAAAATATTATCTTTGTTGCTGCCAAAACAAACAGCATGCATTAACAGATAGCAAAATATATCCAGGAAAAGCAATAAAACATTCGAATTTCAGGGAGATGTGACTGCGCATGCGCACTACTGTTTTTCTGAAATATCCTTAATTTCATGACAGTGCAACATATAATATTGTGGAAAAACTTTTTTAAGCCTTCTCTTGCATGCATGTGTACTAGGCTTGTTCATTTGTTCACAGATGTGATGATTAAGTGAGATAATTTTCCTCAAGGTGCATACAGAATGTCGGCCATTTTGAAGGCCGAAATAGGCACTTTCCCCTGCTCAAATTTTGGGCAGTCCTTCCATTCCATATTCCCCATATCCTAATGAGTATCTGTGCCAAGTTTCAGAATGTGATCACAATTTGAACGATTTTTTGTCTTAGCAGCCCTACTATCAGGATAATTTTTAGTTTAGGTTTATGCCCAAGCAGGAAATAATAAAATATATAAGTTTCAAGAAGTTAGAATAAAAGCGCGAGATGAGAGTGAGATGTAAAAAAGGTCAAATATCACCGCGTATAATTTAACGTTTTAACTTGTTTTCGTACGCGTCCTGAAATAATAGCGAAAAAAAATTAAAAACTGACTACAATTCCAAAGTCAACGTTTTTTGTTCATTTTATGAATGACTTCTTCCACACAGAAAGTATGGAAGAATTCTGTAATCTTACGAAATTCGAGTGGTCGGTTTTTACACGGGCTGCCTCTTAGTTAAAACTCTTTCTCGACAGGCCGATTTCGCATTACATTACGATCCAATTTTTCTAAAGTGAATATCTCGGCGAGTATTTACCCCCCTTTAAAACAAAGGACATCATTAAAATCCTTACATAATAACCTTTCGAACGGGGGTCAAGTGCCGTCAGAACATTGACACAAAAACAGTCTGTATTTCATATGGAGAAAAAGTTGAATATCTTCTAAACTTTCGTCGTTTTTTGAAAGGTTATATGAGTAAGATACTCTTTGAATTCAAGCGCTTTCGTGTAGAAAGTTTCGTTTGAATACGGCAAGTAGAAATATTTCTTTCGAATTTTTCAAAATATCGGGTTTTATTCTCACACGCGTGTATTACGCAATACTTGGCCAATAAGTACTTTAGCCGGGATGACGTCAAACTCACGCGTATAGGTGCACTTTGACCTGTAGAACCATTTCTGGCATTTCCAGAGTCACGCGATACAAGCGTCGCATTGTTTTGACGATTTTTCCTCGTATTTCCGGTTTGGATTATTGCACATTCGGAACAGAAATGTAATATTCGGCAGCAAAAGTCACACTTTAAAGATATAAGCTTGAAAATAACACTATACATGTTATTTTTAACTGCTTAATTCATCAGGAGTATCAGAATGAGCATGCGACTCAAGGGGCCAAAGTTATGTTCGGCGAAAGGTATGTTTATGTTTATAATTTGTTAGTAATATTGCGTAATTTGATCATATACGAGCTCGCTTGACTTTCAAAGCTCATAAATGCTACAATGTAGCCATTGACTAAAACTATCGTTATAAATTAGTATATATTTTTACTGAATCGAATGGTGGTATTTTCATCTACATAGCGTTTACTGAACCGAAGATATGAATGAAACATACTTAGTACGTGCACGTTTAGAAGAATTAGCAAAGTGTAAACAAAATATTAAAGTCAAATTGTGGAATATATTAATATGAAGGCTGATAATTATGTAGGTAAAATATAAAAGAGTCGAAGTTTGGAAACATCAAAGGTTTTTCAGGTAGATGAGTCATGTACAGACGCCAATATATTTGTTTCATTTCAAGACAGACTAAAGAGAGCAATTGTCAAAAAATGGAAGTTTATAAAGGAAATTACTAGCGCGTGTTTCCTAATGTTCCCGTTTTGCATTGTGAGAGGTTCTCGAACAGACTAATTAAGTGATGACAGACACCCCAAGTACACACGACATAATTTCGTATGTACTTCATCTTTTGGCACATGCTCTAACCTCTTTGTCTATTAGTTTCCTAGATGTGGGCGTTTTTATAACTCACCTTGGGGCATAGTACAAAACATGGACTGGACCCATGAACTGGACCCAAAATTGGACCCAAAATTGGACTCAAAATTGGACCCAAAATTGGACTCAAAATTGGACTCAAAATTGGACTCAAAATTTTAGCCAAAATTTTGCCCAAAAATCCATTATTTTTTCGGAGAGAAACAACCCTCAGAATATCGTGCTTTGATTTTAATTTGTATTTAATTTGTATAGGCAAAAAACTTCTTCACGTTCCATCACTTTTCCTTGACCTATCTAGCTATTTGTCTTCCAAAATTCTATATTCTATTTTCTAAACGTTATCTAGGGTATCTCGTAAATAATAAACCTTTGTGAAATATCTTTGCGCAATGGTCACAAATACATCACATCGATATAAATCATTCCATCAATATATACATCAATATATAGTTATTTTAATTATATACATTTTGTGTCTGTATAATACACCCTCTATATATTCCGACATATATACCTCTATAAACGAGTAACGAGTTCGCAAAGTTTGTTTTGTCCATATATTCTAATATTTATCGCAACTAGCTATATGTGGGCTTATCATTATGCACATATATATTGTATTTCAATTCCGTTTGTCAAATATAGACGTGTCACTTTATGTCGTGTGTCGTGGGTTAATAGTCGTGGGTCGTTTTTTTTCTTCACTAAAACTCATTCGCGTTTCAAAAGCTACTGCAGTATATATTGCTATTTGCTATTTTTTGTAGAGAAAACGTCTGGCTCGCGTTTTGGAATTATTTTGTGGAATATTTTATATTTGATCTCTGATGCTACTACAGTAAAACAATTAGATTACTCGCTCTCGATATTTCGAGCTCGTAATCTAATTTTATATATCAGAGCGCTTATATATAAGCTAAATAAGCGGATATATAAGTCCCCCTGGTATATATAGTACATTTCGGTTGCACATATATCTGTGCTAAAAGCTAGGAGACTTGTCAGCTAGAACCGACAAAATCACATAATTAAAAGTAGCCTATTACCACTAGTCAAGATATCACTCGCGAAGTGCCTAGTCTGTCAGGCTGGCGAGCATCACGCAAGCGATTTTCTGGCTGCACATGATAGAACTTTATTTCTTACGCGATGTGTAGTTCCTGTCTTAAATACTGCTTGTGCACGTCGAAGAGTCTGGCGCGTATGTCGCTTGGGATAACGATGGAACGTGAAGTTTTTTGCCTATACAAATTAAATCAAAGCACGATATTCTGAGGGTTGTTTCTCTCCGAAAAAATAATGGATTTTTGGGCAAAATTTTTGGCTAAAATTTTGAGTCAAATTTTGGCTAAAATT